ATTAAAGTAGAATTATTTACTTTAAAAGTTACTATATAAAAAATAATAATTTATAAATAATTCGCTTAATTACAAATAATAATAAAAAAATTAATATCTAACTTCGCTATATAAATATTTAAAATATATAGTTATATTAAAAATAGTAAAAGAAATTTTTTAAAGTTTACTATTTCCCTATATAAAAAATATTTACTAATAACCTAATAAAAAAACTTTTAAGGTAATATTTTAAATATTTTTAAAAATTTATAAATTTTTAAAATATAAAATACCTAATTTTTTTAGATTAAAAATGGGTTTAAAAACCTTCTTTTTTTTTATTTATTTCTATTAAAAAACCTTAAATAAAAGGATTATTTTTATATAAGGGTAAACGTTAAAATACTCTTTATACTAAAAATAATTTAACTTTAAAAGGGAGATTACTTAAAAATATTTTTATTACTAAAAAACGTTTCTAAATCACTATTTTTACTATTTTTACTAATAGTAAGCTTATTATTATAAAAACTTTTATCTTTAACTAAAGGTATAAAATTATTTAAAAAATACTTTATATTATATTTAAAACAAAAATCCTTTTCCTCCTTTTTATTTTTTTTTATTATTTTTAAAAACCTTTTAACTATTTATAATTTAAATATAAATAATAAAATCCTTAAAAATTTTCTTTAGCTTAAAAATTTTCTTTTCGTAATAAAAATAATCGTAAACTAGTTAAAAAGCTTTTTTAAGCTAGTTAAAATAAATATTTTGCTAAATAGTAAGTTTATAAAGATTTTAAACGGAATAAAAAAGGTTAGGCTTTAAAAAAGTAAAAATACTTTTATTAAAAGTATTTTTAAGCTAAATTATAATTTTTTTAATTTCAAAAACTTTTTTAGATAATTTGCTAAAACAATTTACTAAATTAAAGATATTTTATAAGAGAAAAATTATTTTACTGGAGGAAATAAATTAAATTACTTTTACTTTTACAAAACAATTTATAAATCTTTAAAGAAACTTATTTATAAAACCTAAGAGAAATTAAATATTTTTCTTAATAACTTATATATAAGAAATTTTAGTTTAAAAGTTAAAAGTAAAAATATTTTTTTAATACTTTATAATAACTTAATTTTTTAGAAACAAATAGAGAAAACTTTTAGTAAAATTAGGGTTAAAATTTAACTTTTCCTTTTATAAAATATTTTTATAATTAGTTAAGTTGGAAATAATTTTTATATTAGGTTTAAAATAATAAGTACTTATTATAAAAAAATTTCCGGTAAAAAAAATCGAAGGAGTAAGTTTAAAAATATTTTTAACGGAGATTTTTATTTTACAAGTAAGCTTATTTTTACGCTTACTTTTAAAGATATAGTAATAATTTTAAATAAAAGTTAGGTAAATAGTAATTTATTTTTAATCCTTTTATAAATATAAAAAATTTAGTTTAGTAATTTTATAAGTAATTTTATTAGGAATAAGGTAATTATATATACTAAAAATATACGTATAATATATCTTTTAAATTACGCTACTTTTAAAGTTTTTATTATAAATATTTTAGTAATATATCGTAAAGGTATTTTTATTAATTAAGAATTTTTTAATATATTTAAAGTAAAAATACTTATAAACTTTTACGTTAATATACTTTTCCTAATTAGCGTAAGTTATTAAAGGGATAATAAAAGTATTTTTAAAGTTAAGTAAATATATAATATAATTTTTGTAATTAGTTAATAAAGTTTTTTTGGGATTAAATTTAAAAACTTTTTTTATAGAACTGAAAGTAGTTAATTTAAAAATAGTTAAGATAAAGTGCTTTTAAGTTAAAAAAAGTTAGTAATAGTTTTAAATATAAAAGTACTTTGAAAAACTTACCTAATGTAAAAACTTTTTAAGCGCTAATATTTAAGTTAATAATATAATATTTTAAAAAAGTATTTTAGTGAATTTTAAGGGTATTAGGATTTTTTTTAGTATTATGAAAACTTTTAGTAAAAGTATTAGGCTTAAAACTATTTTTAAATTAAAAGTATAATGCGAAAAACGGTAAGGAAAATTTACGGAGGTATTTTAACTATTAGGGAATGTTTTTATATATTATTATGTGCTTTTGTATATGGTTAAAAATACTTTAGTTAATATAAGTAAATTAAAAAGCTATATATAAAAAGGTAGAAAAAAGGAAAAAAATTAATTAGCTAGTTGGAAATTTAAATAGGTAGTATTATAGCCGTATATAAATTATAAAGTAACTTGTGCGTAGCTAGGGGGTGTATCGTATTAAGCTATATATAGCTTAAATAGTTAAATTTACTTTTAGTGGCTAGATTTATTTTATTTGTTTAAGTAGATAGCTTCCCCTAAGGAATTCTCCTGGGGTAATCAACCATCAATTCTATCCTGAGCTCTCGCCTCTGGCTTCCTCCTGGCGTACAATAGATGTGCCCTCCGCTTTTCGTCAGCAAGTCTTTCACCAGTCACCACCCCGCACGTGGCTACGATGCATCTCCTCCATACCCGCACTCTCGAGCTCCAGTATTTCGGCAATCGCGATGTCCCTCCGTACGCTATTCTTTCCCATCGGTGGGAGGCGGAGGAGGTGACCTTTCAAGATGTACAAAGCGGCAACGCCCTCACCAAGGCCGGCTACAGCAAGCTGGAAGGAACATGCTCGCTGGCCAGGTCCCACGGGTTCGAATACGCCTGGATTGACACGTGCTGCATCGACAAGACAAGCAGCGCCGAGCTCACTGAAGCCATCAACTCCATGTTCCACTGGTACCGGGAAGCAACAGTCTGCTACGTCTACCTTTCCGATGTGCGCCCCCTGTGCGATGCCGACGAGTCAAACCCAACCCGTCTTGATTTTCAACGCAGCCGCTGGTTCACTAGGGGATGGACCCTCCAAGAGCTCCTGGCTCCAGCCATGATTATCTTTTTCGACCAAGCCTGGGAGGAATTCGGCACCAAGGCATCCCTTTCTTCCGAGATCAGTCGCATCACCACCATACCCGAGGCCGTTCTGCAGGGGACCCAGAGCATCGACGAAATTAGCATCGCAACGAGGATGTCCTGGGCCGCATACAGGGACACAGCAAGAGTCGAAGATATAGCCTACTGCCTTTTGGGCATATTCAACGTCAACATGCCCATCATGTACGGGGAGCGCGAGAGGGCGTTTATGCGGCTGCAGGAGGAAATCATCAAGGTCACAGATGATCACAGCGTGTTTGCATGGAACCACAATCCAGGCTTCCACCCGAGACATTCGACAACCGGTACCGGCATGCACTTTGCCTACTACCCATTTGAGTTCCTGAAGGGCAACGTGGTCGCATCGGACAAGGTGGGCTTCAGTTTAGGTGACGACGAAGAGGAGCATTACGACAAATCGATCCTGGTCGACAATCAAGGGATCCATTTCAAGTTGCCTCTTCGCCGCTGGGTGTTTGGCCCTAAGTCATTCTCCGATAACAACTACTTTGTCACTCTCCCCTCTCTGATTTCAAGTTCAACCTCCGCAACACCAACATCGCAACCGAGCCGCATAGGAATCAGGCTCTCTCGCGTGGCACCGGGCCTCTACACCAGGAGTCTCTGCGAGCCCGTGACGGACGTGGACCTGGCGCGTTCTAAGCCGTTCTGGGAGAAAGTATGCATCAAACGGGTCCATCCGGTGCGATGCCACGCGATCCAGCTGATCGATGCCGCGCGCAAGGGAAACGTAGTCGAGGTTAACTTCCTCTTAGACAGGGGAGTCGTCGACGACTCGATCTATCCGAGCGAGGACGACTCTCTGTGCCGGATCTTGAGAATGTCCCCGAGGATCTCGGGCGCATCGGGACTTCAACCCACAGCACTTGCATACGCTGTCTGGGAAGATCAAGAAGCCGTGGTGAAAGAGTTGCTCGCACGGCCCACGGGTCAGCAGCAGCTATCAAGGGCAGCTGGCGAGGGCCTGTTGATGTTAGCCGCGATACTGGGAAACGCCGGCATGGTGGATTTGCTCCTTCGGCACGGGGCCGATGCTCCGGACTGGACTGGTCGTGCTCTGGGCGACGCGGCACAGTGGGGGAATCCGAACGTTGTTCAGACGCTGCTCGACAGAAATGCCGATTGCAACACTGCACTTCCCTGGAAACATGGTCGCGGTCCACTGTCGGTCGCCGCAGAAGGAGGCCATGTGGCTGTGATGGAGATTTTGCTCAAGAATGGGGCGCATGTGGATGCACGGGATGTAAATGGGAGGACAGCGTTATCCTGGGGGGTGTACAGCAAGAACGTGGATACCGTTCGGACACTGCTGGACAGAAACGCCGGGCTTGATATCGAGGACCACAATGGCAGGACTCCGCTGTCATGGGCTGCACAGTACGGCAACCAAGCTGCTGCAGAGCTACTTCTGGCAAAAGGGGCAAGCTGGGAGGGGAAAGATGTGGAAGGGTTGGCGCCGGTCAACTATGCTAGGGAATATAACAACAAGGGAGTCGTGGAACTGCTCGTGAGCCACGCTGCTGCTGACTCGGAGGCGCCTGGACAAGCACACAGGCGGGTGGAGGAGGCTTATGATGACATCAACGCAGAGTGGGATAGGTTCAGAGTGCCTACAGCGCTGGAGAGGATTGTAACGGCTAGACGGAAGTCCCTCAAGTGGTTGAAGGGGTGAGATGTAGGCCTGAGAAGATGTGATGTCGCCCAATCACACAGAACTCCACAACGAGGAAACGGTTGGAGAAAATAACAGGGCTACCGAAGACGGATGAGATTGAAGAAAACTCGTTGTTCAGTGCATCGATTGATCTATATTGTAATCAGATCCACGTGAATCCGCCGCTTGGCTAGCATGTGTGAAGGATAGTTCCCCATACTTTTCGGTGTGGGCTTTTCAGGTCCAGCAAGCTTCAGTCCCAGGAGAGGACTTTCCAGATTTTGCTTCGTACCTAACAAGTTCTAAAAAAAAAAAAAAAAAAAAGATATTCCAGCTATAAAAATGGAGAATCTGGGCGGGCTGGGAATCGAACCCAGGTCTTTCAATGAACGCTTTGATATGTACAATATATATTTAGAAAACCAACGCTGAAATCCGGCTTAGGGAAGAAAAGCTGCACGCTCAGGGAATGCGCTGACCACTACGCTACCCGCCCCTCTGTCCTGTTAGTATATGGTAATGTGGTTTGAATCTATATACCCCTACCTAGCACTTGAAAATGCCATCTCCCGCCTAAGGTAGGTACGCATATAAGTGTACTACCACACATACGCTGCTGTTGCCCTAGATCCCTATCCGGCGAGCCGGTATCGAGATGCTAAGCAAAGAGGAAAGACGGGAGAGAAAAAGAGAAAGAGACAGAAAAGAGAGAGAGAGTGTGTGTGTGTGTCTGTGCAAAAAACTACACCATGCTCAATAACAGGATTGAACTGTTGACCTTCGCATTTTATACTTCGACACCATTCTTCCTTACATCCATCCCCTTGTAGTCCGGAAGTTGCCACCCCCCAATCTCTTCCTTGAGCATCCACCGTCCGAGGTTCAGCTTCAAGAACGACGCGATTGCCACCAACCAGTGGAAAGCATAGATGCCCCATTTCGATGACGCCAGACCGGCCCAGTAGCCGTCGTCCTCAACCGACACATCCTTCTGGACCTGGGCCATATACGGCTGGAACTTTCGCTCATAAGCCTGGAAGGCTCTGTGCAGCGCATCATACTCGGGATTAGTAGGCACATCTAGATGCCCACCAACGCCGCCGCAATGCTTTGCAATCTCAGAGGCCAGAACATAAGCACCCACAATTGCGCACGTCGTGCCCACGCCAGTCGTTGCGGTTGGACACCACGCAGCATCCCCCACGAGCGCGACACGGCCGCGAGACCACGATGCCAGCTTGACGAGGGCCGCCGACTCGACATAGAAGTTATCCGCCTCGGTGGTGGCGGCCATGAGAGCCTCCAAGATCTCGTCGCTCTTCCACCCCGCCCCTTTGAAGATCTCCGCCCAGGCAGCCTTCTGCTCCCCCACGTCTCCACGGCGACGTGCCATGTCGAGCCGGGGGGACTTGGTGCTGCTGCACCCGAGGTAGACTTGGAGCTCGTGAGGGGAATGCCGGCGGGTCATGATGCCACGCCGGCCTGGGGCGATGTACATTGTAGCGACGTAGTCCTCGCCCGGCTGGATCGGCCGCGGGATGGTGAAGTACGCCATGTACGTGTTCTTGAACGGATGGTATGCCGCGTCGGCCACCGCGGATCCGAAAAGCTTCCTTCGCGTGCTGGACCCCTGGCCGTCGGCTCCCACGACGACGTCGAAGCGACTGGTCCTGCCATCGGCAAACTTGACTTGGACCGCGTCTCCCCCCCCGTCATCGAAGCTCTCGATTGACGTACTAAACTCGAAGCGCGCCCTAGACTTGACGGCGGCGTCGTACAGGAGCCGACACAGATCACCTCTCATGATCTCGTAGTCGGATGTGAAGTTTTGCACCATGGGTGGTCGGTGGCCGGTCGATGACGTTTTGTTCGCCGGAAAGAAGCCCTGGCGCGTGCCAGCGCTGTTGACGACCTCCAATCCCTGCTCGGGCACGAGTTTGGCCTGGAGTTCGTCATCCAGACCCATGCGCTTGATGACTTCGACCCCGTGGCCGCGGAGGTCGACCTGGAGGCCCGTAGAGCGCAGGTCGGGGAACCGCTCGATGACGGTGACGTCGTGGCCTAGCCGTGAAAGGAGAAGCGCGAGGGAGTTGCCGGCGATGCCGGCTCCGCTGATGAGGACCTTCATTCGTGTCATGGCGTAGCTGCGGATAAGGGAAACTGAGTCTGATGACAGATCGGTGGCTGAAGCGGGTGCGAGGATGGCAAAACTCGAGACCTTGCAGTAGGTGGAATTGTGAGATCTGGTTAGGTTGAGTTGAAAGAAGAAGTCGACCAAGTGCGAGGCTTTGTTTTGTTTAATACTGCGCGGGCAGACGGGGCTGCGTTATACCGCTTATCTCCGTGAAGCCGCCCTAACTACCTATCTCTAGTCAGGCAACCCCGGGCCCTCGGCCGAGAGCGCGATTTCGGTGTCAAGACATCTAAACGGCTAATCCGGAAAGGGGTTAGGAAAAGCTTGTGTCAGGCTGGAGAAAGTCAAAGTCAAAATCAATGTCTGCATCCAGACCATACAGGTCAAAGTCGCCGCCATCACCAAACCCTGCCACCATCAAGTCAGAATCTCGCGCGCTATCGGCCTCTGCCTGAAGGAGCGCCAGACAAAACGCCAAACTATCCTTTGCGGCCTGCGCAATGGCCTGCTCGCACGGGACTCCCGCTTCAACTGCCTCTGCCTGGGCCAAGATCATGTGGAGGAACATGTGCGCTTTGACATTGGTTTCGCCCTGCTCAATTCTCCGGATTGACAAGGCAATCATGTCCCTGACGGCCTGCTTCAGCACGCCTCGGTACTGCGAGTTGCGGTGCAGCGTCCCGTCCAAGTGTTGTGCCTGGACCTGGACGAGAAGCTCGAGAGAAATGGCCGTCATGGCCGACCGGAACCCCTCCCTGAACAAACCTCCGCCGATGGCCATTGCGCGAGAAAAGTACTCGTCCGGCTCGGGCGCTATGACGGACATGGCCGTGTCGAGGCTAACTTTGACCGACCCGTAGAGCAGCGGGTTGGTCTGGGCCTCGGTGGCAAAGGGGCGGTGTAGAGGCAGCAGAAAGCGCCGCACGAGATAGTCGACCATGTTTCGGTGAAACGGCAGGATACCAAGCCCCTTGTTCTCCCGCATGTAGGCGGTAGCTGCGCGGCACGCGTCGGAAATCTCAGCACTGAGTGCGAGGACGTCAGCATACTCGAGACTGGAGTGAAGGCCGCTGAGAAGCTGCAGGGTACGAAGGCGAACGGGGAGGGAGTCGAGCAGCAGCAACTGGATTGACGTTGAGGTGTAGCCTCCTGCGTGTCTGGGACGTGGCAGGAGCGGAGATTGCGTGGTGTCGTCTATCTCGTCGTCGTTGACATTGGCGGGCGCCTCCGTGTCAAACTCGTCAAGTGAAATCCTCGGCGGCATGGCTGAGTCGAGCGAGGCCTGGATGGCCATTTCGGCGATGGTCGCCCAGAGTCGCCTACGGAGTTCGGCTTGCAGCACTGACATGGATGGGAGATGCTTGGGGTCGCGGTGCAGGCCGAGCTCCATGGCCTTGTGGATGAGCGATCCCACCGATACCCATACCAGATCTCCGCCGACCGCGAGCATCTGCCTGGCTAGGATGGTCAAGCAGTGCACCTGGAGCCCCGCAATGCTAAGGCGGTTCTTCAGTGGCACGGCAAGCCATGCCTCGGCTGCGTACACCCACTGGTCAACCATGCGGCGCCAGGCGCCACGGCCATCTCCATGCTCGTAGAGACTAGACCCTATGGCAACGACAAGCAGCACCTTGAGACGATGATCGGCTGTGGCATTTTCCGGGTCGTCCCAGAACTTGTTGAACCCGGACCAAAAGCTAGACGTATGGAGTATTCGGTACGTGGACTCAAAGAATCGGAAGTACAGAGTGGCCATTTCGGCTGCCACGTCGCGCCGAGGCAGCGTGATGCCCAGGACGGCATTGGAGGGCCTCGTACTCGCATGTCGCCCGGCTTTGATCTTTTTGGCGGTGCCCTTGCACTCGCGCAGGAGCTCGCCGATCTGGCCGACCACGGCTTCGGTCTCGAGGCTCTGCGATGAGGCCCTCGCAAAGCAATTGATGATGGGTTTGAACTCGGGAGCAATGCTTGTCTGAAACCTCATGATTCTCGTCGTATTCAGAATTATATGGAGGTCCTGCAGACCGGACTCGAGGGTTGCCACACTGCTTTGATAGTTCGCGTGTGATGTTGCGACCGGCTCCGCTGTGACTTCATCGGTACTCAGCGTCCCCTCATGTTGGGCCTGGCCGGAGAGATCGGACGGCGCTGAGGGCGGAGGAAGACTGTAGGTTCGAAAGGTGCACTGCACTTTGGCAGACACACAATGCCGACAGGGGTCTGCTCTGTCGCACTTGATCTTGCGGCGTCGGCACTCGAGACATGAAAGCGCGGGTCTTCTGCGCCGTCGTGGCTGCGATTGCCGCCCAATCATGTCAATCGCGACACAACCCGAGGCCGTCGGCCGAGGCGAATCTTGCAGTCCTGTAGACATGGTCGCGCATTGGGAGTGGTTCAAACACCTATGGCCAGGGAGGGACCGAGGTTGTCAGGAGCAATTGTTGTTGTTCTCGCCGCTCGGAGCCTCGGACGAGGCGGATGTAAGCGGACATTCCAGCCAAGGCACGCCCTGCCCCTTACGGCCGAGAGGATTTACGCCAGGGTGACGGAAATAACATGATGAGCGAGCAATGAACTGTTTGACCACACCCTCCCTCCCAGCAAAAAAAGTGGCACTGCAAAAGGATTGCCAAAATTCAGGCCACACTTCAACAGCCACAGAAAAGCGGAATAGTTCTGAATAAATTTCGAGTCTCTCTTTCATGCCATGTGAACCCCTCGAGAACTTTAGAGTTTTATTCGGATAGACATTGGGCTTGTGGTCATGAATTGTATTTATGCCACTTTTAGAGAAATGTATTGAACGTGTGCCAATCACCTTTTTTGTAAGTGCCTTTTTTGGTTGGGGGAGAGCCATCCACCCCAACTATACATGACCATCAACATCTCACGGTTGCGCGCATTATTACCTCAAGCCTCTTGCCTTTGCAGTGGTTATGGTGCTCCGTTTCCACACGTAGAAGTAACTTGAAACCCCCTGTAATCTTAGCGTCGGTTTTCCGCTCCTTTGGCTGGAGTTGAAATAATTTACATCTTTCGTGGCAAATAGGGCTTAGAGGGTGTGTAAAGTGTGAGCCGTGTCACGGCCCTGTGCGTGCAGCTGCCGAAGTGACGAGCTATATAGAGCGCTGAGATCAATCGAGCTGTCAGCTTGATTGAATTGTATCCTTTTGGGGAACATAGCCTAGTTGCCGTCAGCGCTGCGCTAGGCCGTGACAGCGCGGTGCACGGCCGTAACAAGTACGTTGAATAGGGCGTGAAATCCCGGAAGATGCGGTAATTGTCTAGAGAATTTTAAATTCTCCTTTTTTTAGGAGTTGCAGAATATATTATCTTTTTTTCCGGAGATAGTGGATGAGGTA